ATAAAATTCAACAATAAGATTTAGAATGTGTTGTTGCAATAGAATTACCATTAGAATAGGCTTGAGCCAATGTTGTTCTCCAACAACTCCTTATCTTCTTGCTTGAGTCACTAACAAGGATACAAAAAATATTGACTACAAGTAATTTTAGTGTATACTATTTGCTATCTAGTCAATGAGACTAAGAGGAAGGGAGATACGTCGTACGTTGAAACTTTGGAATTGTACTTCAGAATCTAAAGGCTTTAAATTAGGGAGTAGTAAGACAATATATGAAATGGCTTTTTTAGTCTAGATGCAAATAATAGTGGAATTGAAACAGAGGATCATGTTGTCTAAACAATGATTATTCAGGTTTTATGCTTGATTGTTATAAGTAACAAGGACCTGAGAGAATGAAATACATAAGACTATGGTGATTTTTACGAAATGGAGAGAAGCTAAGAGGATTGCATGTTTTCAAAATGTACAAAGTTAAAATTAAATTTTTATATATCTATTCTCTTATGATGATAGTTTTTGATCAATCTAAATGGTGGAAAAGTATTCATTTAATTGATCCTAAATTTATTAGGAAAAGGGCTTAGCTTTTTGCATTGTTATTTTGCTTATATAGTTGTAGTTGGATATTCTCACAGAGGGATAATGTAATTCTTAATCATATAAATTTATTTGTAAATTTTCATATTTTTGATGGTTTGACTGTTCAAATGTCACTTCGATAACTTCTTATTTTATTTTTACTTTTTGACTTCAATAAAATATGTATATCCAATTAAAATTGGTTTCCATGGCAAATGATCTAGGCTGATATAGTACTGCGAGGATATTCTGGATGGAACTCAAGACTTGCTCTTCAAGTTTTGGATCAGGTTTTTCCAAAGGTATCATATGTTTGGTAATGCTTATAGTGAAGTTCAAATATAGCAGCAGTGTCCATAATCATTCATTCAATTTTCTGAAACTAGCTAGTAATTTGACAGAAAATAGCTTAATTACAAAAGAGGTCTTATACCCCAAAAATTAATCCAATTCTGAGATCCCAATACCATATTAATTTTTTTCTTTCATCGAGATATTAATTATTTCTACAGCGAACTATCTTCCATTTTTTTCCTATTAATTCACATTCAACAAGATGTTATTCTTTATGGTCCACATTTAGGATGCAGCTGTTCAGCCTTCGCTGGTTATAGTATATTTTGGGGGCAATGATGCAATGAAACCTCACCCAAGTGGCCTTGGTGCTCATGTTCCTCTTCCTGAATATGTTGAAAACATGAAAAAGATTGCTGTTCATCTCAAGGTAACTTGAGTGTTGGTGCTATACTATTTTACGTAGTTATTTATCTGAAGTTTCAACCAATGCATCAATTATATAACTTGACTATTTTTTAAGGATAGTCAGCTTCTAGACTCCTGTACAGAACTGAACCTTGAAAAAAAATGGCAGATCACTTTTTCCAATCTCCGGTAAAATTATTAAACTTCAGACGTTAAGCTAGATGCTTTTCATTTGTCCTTTAATTTAAATGGCATTATATTAATCTTGGAGGCAGTTCCTCAGCATTTACCTCAAGCATACCATTTTTAACATTAAGGCCCTATAGGGGGATCATAGGCTTTGCAACTGCGTAGGATCTTCTCTCATTAATGTTGAAGTTCAATTTCTTGCTATAGATGTAATGGTGTTACTTTAGGAACTTCCCAGTTATTAATATTCTCATTTGTGAGGTCTATGAATCTAACTCATTAATATAAAACCGGGTTACAATGTGAGTTTTGCCTTCACCAATTCACCTTATACATTGCGCATCTCATTTGTTCCCAGGTGATGTGGCCTGTGTGACATTCTAACTTATCTCTCACTGTCAAGCTAGATTCTCAAGGCACTTCCCCTAAACACGGGGCAGGAGATGCAAACTTGACCCATCCCTGATATACACCTTCTGCTACGATACCATGTTAAAGTCCATGGGGCCGAATTTATCACTATAAAACCGGCTTACAATGTGAAATTTCTGTTCAGTTTATACAGGGCATACCTCAATTGTATCAACTATCAAGGCAATGTGGACATGCTAGCACATATTACTATGTTTAACCCGTTACTAACAATCATAAATCTGTTCTTTGTTGTTATCTTTATTTTTTCTATCGTCGAATGGGCATTTTTTCTTTTCAGTGAACCTAGGGAAGCCCTCCAGAAAAATTGGTGGAAAGTTACAGTTACAAAGGACTTTGAGCAAAATTTATACTGCATAATTTGAAACTATAAGCCCGCAGACTCTTTTCTTCTTTGTTTCCATCTATATCAGGATCACATACTCTGACACTAGTTTGCATTATTTTCAGAATCTTTCAGAGAAGACACGGCTGATCTTTCTTACTTGTCCTCCTGTAAATGAGGCAAAAATTCGTGAATGTTTTGGGTAATCCAAACTTAAATTGAGTTTAGTTTATTAGCTTGTTGGCAATGCTTTACCTATTTGAATAGCTAACTACATCTGGTTTATCACCCAAAATCAGTAATGCATTGGACGATCAAGAACGGACAAATGAGTTATGTGGAATTTATGCTGAAGCTTTAGTAGAGATGTGTAGAGTATTGGATGTTAAAGTCATCAATCTTTGGACTGCGTTTCAGCAAAGAGATGATTGGGAAGCAGCTTGCTTTCTGTAAGTTTCTACCTATCATTTCCCTTTGATAAAGTGAACGATCTTTTTTATTTTATTTTTTATTTTTTATTTTTTGTTCTGATTCATCAACTGTGCATCTCTTTTATAATTCATGTTCGCCTTTAATTAGATGGACTGAGTTATAAACATGAAAACTGAATAATTGGGTGGGATCCCTCCTTTCCAGTCTCATTTAAGGTTAGGGCCTACTGGATTCCAGGGATATCCATACATCGCCTCTCACATCAAGAACGGAATACACTATTAACTTGGTAAACTAATCCCAACAGATTTGATCTAGAACAGTAAAGTGAGGAGAGTAAACAAGATACTTAGAAATTTTTGGGAGAGAAATTTCAGTAATTGTGAATTGTAGAAATCAATGTCTTAATTATTCACCAATACTTGTTCTAGTTAGATATAAAGATTTTTAATATGGATGGAAATTTACCAAATGAAAATGGGAAATATTTAGCTTGAAGACTGCTAACTACTATAAGAAATAAATTGCTATACACTTTTTAAAATTTATGCCGAGAGCAAGTATTATTTTTCGAATACATCTCTGCCATTAAGAATATCTCACCCACTATATATCCTCTTCGAGTTAGGGTTAAAAGTGATTGGGGATTTGGTCCATTTGATGTTTTAGGAACAGCGGACTGAGATCCATTACTAGGGACTGTCAAAAAAAATGTGGGTGAAGCGCACATCTCACAGGGTAAAAGCAAAGGCATGTTTCGAGTTTTAATGCCTTGTTTATACTATGCTTCCTCTAAAAACTCAAGTAAGTCTAAAGTAAAACCCACAGTTAATTTACGCTATTTATAAATCTAGAGATGGTGACATTAGGACCTTCTGAATGTACAAAATAACCTTAGCTTCTCATTGTGAGTCATTTACTCACTTATATTGGAAATACCTTGCCTAAAATTCAAGATTTAATCTATTGATTTATATGATAGTTAAGTACATACTTTTCTTTCTTTATTAATTCTGTTTTAGCGTCAGAACTTTTGATTGTAGCACATATAGTACTGATTGATACTGTGCAGACTGGACGAATTTTATTCAAGCAACATGAACTTGTTGGGTGTTTTTCATGCTATACACTCCAAGTAATCATCAAGAACGTCAATCCCATCTGGAAACACTTCCCAATCAAGTCTACCATTGAATTCTAGTCATCTAATTTGACTTTCCTATCGACCTCGTTCACCCCATCTTAACTGTTCCTAGCTTGTTCGTTCACGAACATCTGCATATGTTGATTTGGTTGCCTTTTTTAACTGAAGGTAACATAATCAAAAGAATTCAAGAATTCATCTTTAATTTGCAAACCTTGTAGGGGAACCACCTAGTCGCCATTTCCTCAAATTATCCTCAGCCAGTGCTGCTTCCACTTGGTTACCCCTTTTCTGTATGCCGACACATCCATCTTAACGTCCTCGTACAAATTCACTAATATAAATCATGACAAATAAGTAGTTTAAAACTGTAAAGGGCTTTTTAACTTAATCAGCTGTTTCTTTCTTGACACGTTGTCCCAAGAATCAACGGTATTAATGGCCTCATATGAGAGGAGATTTCCTCAGTTTAGGGAGAATACTTGCACGCATAAACTCTTGAAACTTTTCACATCAGATGATAATGACTTCCTGTCTTTTTTTTTTTTTTTTTTAAAGCCATCATTTCACTCATAGATCTCCATGGGGAGGTTATTATGATGCAGATATTGTCCAATATTACAACCAAGTCACGACATCAGGCCATTATTGTCAATTGAATATCCATTCTGCTTCATGCTTAAACGTTAACCACGTTTCCTGGGTACCACTCAATCCCCTGGATATTACGTTGATTATTCAAGATGTAGCTTACAATTGACGTTTATATTCAGTCCATTCATCTCAATTCATGCATTTGCATTAAGATGGACCAATTTCATGATCTGATACACAATGATGGATGAAGGAATTAAGTAAAGGTTCCAACTGCTAACTTGGAGGTCCTGAGATCAAATCCCCTCCCCGTATTCCCTCCAACTCCTATGGGTCAAAAAGGAGAAGGAATTAAGCTATATGCATTTGTCTGTACTGACTTTCATTTCAATGTTTTGTTATGTTCCAATGTTGTTGACCATCCCAATATGTTACTGGCAGCTGGTTCTATCTTCTCACAATTTTTAACAATGAAATGATACACTTTTACCTGTCCATGTGTTCTTCTATTAGTTAACAATTGCCGTATTCAAATCGATGTTTGGTTTTTAGCTGTTGTGTCTCCTCTCCTCAGCGACGGAATCCATTTGTCGAGTGAAGGGTCGAAAATTGTAGCAAAGGAGATACTGAAGGCCCTCAAAGATGCTGACTGGGAACCAAGTCTCTACTGGATGTCAATGCCAGCTGAATTTTCAGAGGATTCACCATATTATACTGTTGGTCCTGATGGCAAAACCACCGTAAATATTTCTGGTGTTCTTAGCCGTTCACATAATGAGTGGGTTAATATTTAGTGCCCATACTAGAAAAAGAGTTTATTCTCAGAATTGACTTGTCAAATTCATGCTATTTTTATTGCCCAGATTGTATTTCGTACAAGATTATTTGGACTCTCAAATTCCCATAGTTTGTTGCTAGTAAATATGAGATGCCATATTTTCCTTTTTGGTTGAAAGGGGACGAAAGATTATTGGCCGAAGCACTCAAGGTATGATATAGCATGACAAACTTAATCAAGTTTTTCAGAGTGAATTACTCAAATGGTCACTGAACTTTGTAAAAGGTTTTCAC